AAAAATTAATATTTTGAGGTTATCTCCTTAATTATTGATTAAATCGAAAAATGTTGTTAACAAAATTTGTTTAGAATTACTTCAGAAACAGTGTTTGTTAATAAAATTTTTTGCTAACTCGAAATTTTAATTTCCCTCTGAATAGTATGCTATCAAAATTAATTATCTCAATAATTATTGTTTTTATCAAAAAATGTTTTAAATAAAATTTGTTTCAATTTCGATTTTGAATCAATTATCTTAATAACAAAATTTTACATCTCTATTAATTAAGCGTCTAAGTGTAATTATGTATAAAAATGGAAAAATTAATATTTTGAGGTTATCTCCTTAATTATTGATTAAATCGAAAAATGTTGTTAACAAAATTTGTTTAGAATTACTTCAGAAACAGTGTTTGTTAATAAAATTTTTTGCTAACTCGAAATTTTAATTTCCCTCTGAATAGTATGCTATCAAAATTAATTATCTCAATAATTATTGTTTTTATCAAAAAATGTTTTAAATAAAATTTGTTTCAATTTCGATTTTGAATCAATTATCTTAATAAAAAATTTTTACATCTCTATTAATTAAGCATCTAAGTGTAATTATGTATAAAAATTTAAAAATTATTATTTTGAGGTTATCTCCTTAATTATTGATTAAATCAAGAAAAGATGTTGACAAAGTTTGTTTAGAATTGTTTCAGGAACAATTTTTGTTAACACAATTTTTTTCTAACTTGAAATTTTAATTTCCCACTGAACAGTATGCTGTTAGGGGTCTTTTAATCAGAACGAGTGGAGGGGGGAAATCGTATCGTTTTGTTACAAAAGTTCCGTGCCCTGATGATGACATTAGAAGTGATTTAAACTTTTTTAACAAAACAGGAAAAAAATAAAAATAAACATCCTCATAATAAAATACAACTTGGACAGTCATTCCAACATGATGAAACAATCAAATCTATTAAAAATAAAATCGAACATAATAATGCAATTTTTGTAAAAGCAGATAAAGGAGCGGGTATTGTAATCATTGATAAAGATACATCCATACACAAAACAGAACAATTCATGAAAGATAATAACTACGTTAAATTAAATAAAAATCCGTTAGATTCGATCATTAGAAAAACGAAAGAAATTATAAACAAAAACCTAAATATAAAACCTGATCGGATTAATAACTTTTTCAGTTCATATTTCATAAATATGAACCCAAAAATCCCAAAACTTTATTTTTTACCTAAATTGCACAAAATAGACGTGCCTATTCGTCCTATTACCACTTTCAATAATTCACCATCATCTAAGCTGGCCAAGTTTATGCTTAACATTTTTCAAATGATAAACTTTAAACCTAAATGTTCCATATCAAATTCCTTGGAGTTCATTCAAAACACTAAAAATCTTAATTTAGCAAATAAAATGTTTTTATCTTTTGATGTTACAAACTTATACGCCAATGTACCTATAGATATAACTATAAAACTAGCAAATAACCTGTTCGATAGTCATTTCAAAGATAATAATATAACTTCACAACTTAATAATATTTTAAAACATATAGTCACACTAAACTACTGCACTTTTAACGATAACTTTTATAAGATTAATGAAGGTTTACCAATGGGGATGCCCTTATCTGGAATTTTAGCAGAAATCTACCTTGATTATATCGAAAATAATTATATAATATCTAATAATAATCCTTACAACAATAATATCATAAAATGGATAAGATATGTAGATGACATCTTTATAATATGGGAAATTAACAATGCAGACTTAGATCTTTTTCATGAGTACCTTAATAATATTCATAAAAATTTAAAGTTCACGGTGGAAAAAGAAATCAATAAGGAACTAAACTTTTTAGACCTAAAGTTGACCAATGAAGATGATAAATTGAAATATGATATATTTAGAAAACAAACAACAGTTCCTACAATTATTCCTGAAGATTCTGCACATCCTTTTTCTCAAAAAATAGCAAGTTTCCGTTATTTAATTAATAGAGCTCTAGATTACCCATTGTCAAAAGAAAATCGTGTTAAAGAACTCAATTATATCTATTGCTTAGCTAAACAAAATGGTTTTTCAAACAATACAATTAACAACCTTTTAAATAAGATTACAATGACTAAGGATGTTTTATATACTACACCTTTAAAGAATAACATTTACAAACCTATTACTTTTAATGATACTTCTCAACAAGCCCATAAGATCCTTGCTAAATATGGTATAACATTGGCTTATAGTATTAGAAGAACAATTCTAAACTTGTTATCAAATCATCATTTAAAAAATAATAAAAATAATCTCCAAGAATCTGGAGTTTATAAAGTTAATTGTAAAGAATGCAATAGTTTATATATTAGGCAAACAAGTCTACACGAACATAAAACAAAAACGAATTCTAACATATTCAAACACAGTCAATTAAATGGTCATATTATCGAATTCGATAACACGAAATTGATACATAAATGTGAGAAAGGGTTTAAACTTGATCTTTTGGAAACATTTGAAATCGATAAATATAGGAGAAATAAAAGAATAAATCTTCTCAACGATCAAGTTGATACTTTTTACACCCCATTATATTTTTGATATTCCTTTCTATCAAAAAGCAAGAAAAGAAAAACTAAACAAATAAAATAATAATTAATTTTCCGATTTTACCATCGCTTTATTCATCCGATTTTAATATGTAACCAGTTTATTCGGGTGCTGTACTTACCTTCATAGTAAATTTTCCATTATTGTGTGCTGTGTTCGTCTTGTACGTTTCATATTAATTTGTAACATATTTATTTAATTTTAACATTTTACCATAGTTTATTTATTTAAATTTTAATATATTAATATTCAATGTGTTATTTTTATAAAATTCAACGTAAGTTATATAATTTTTATAACGAAATTAGATTTTGATGTGATTTTCTTTTTTATTTTTCGCTTGCAAAGATTTTGGCTGATGATGACCTTTATGTGTCGAAACCGGTTCCAATAACTATTTAAAATATAAGCAAGTAAGAAGTTTTTTATATTTTTATATGTTTTACATATACATTTTCCCATATATAATATAACTTGCAACATGGATTCATACAATCAATTTCGAATTTATGCTTACAATTAACATTTGCAAAAAAATCAAGGCTCACTTTAGAAATCGATATTTGCGTAACCACTCTATGGAAAAAATTGCGGTAAAGTTTATTGTAATCAGCGAACATTTCTGCGTATCATATGTCAATTTGAAAATTTTCAGGTCCGCGGTTTTTCTTTTATCGCGAGTTAAGTAAAAAAGTACCCGATTTTTGAGAGTGCCAGCAATTTTGTCTACTTTACGATTTTTTTCTCCAAAACTATTTGACGAAAAAAATTCAAATTTGAATTGGTGGTAAACCGATGTGTTCTTAATATGTGGCATATTTTATTTTCTCCATATTCCATATAGTTTCGTTGAAAATCGCGGTTTAGTAGGATGCGGTTATTTCGAAAGCGACCTGGCGGATGTCAACGTGGTTTTTATCAAATTATGTCAAATAACGTCGGTTGTCGGAGAATAGAGATGGCCAACTCCACCTTATTAAATTGTACCTTTAATTGTACCTAAAGTCCCTAGATTTACAAAGTACCGCGGTTCATGACGCCAGTTTTCGAGCCAAAATGGCAGTTTGACAACTTGTCACCGCTGTCACTTTAGGTAATTGTACCTAAAGTCCCTAGATTTACAAAGTACCGCGGTTTGCCGCCATTTTGGCTCGAAAATCAAGCGGGAAATTTAAAGCTATGTCGTTCTATTGATAACATTACGCCAAAACTCCTTTCTTTTTTCTCGTGGTACTCTTAAGAGTCGAAAGCCCTTCTTACTGCTATTTTTGCAACTCCAAAGGCAACAAGACGGCAATATTTTTGTAAATAAATGCTGAGAAGGACTGACAAGTTGTCAAACCGCCATTTTGGCTCGAAAACAGGCGTCATCAACCGCGGTACTTTGTAAATCTAGGGACTTTAATTGTACCTTGTGTACAGCGCCATCCGATGTCACCGCAGAGTATTAACCATAAATTAAAACCAACTTCGACTAGGATAATGGTGTAAAACTGGGCTAACCAACGATCTGGCAACATTGTTCGCTGCGCATCGAAGCGAAGCGACCGACGTTGCCAGATCGTTGGGGCTAACTTAAAAAAATGAAAAAAGGAAATAAATATATTTTAAATGAAAGATCTAATTTCAACATAATAATTTATTATTCACAAAATTGATAAAATTTGGTAACATAAATAGAATATAAGTACGAAGACTTTCACGGCCGGTGTTAATTAAACTAGAACTAATAGTAGCACTATCGAACACGACTCGAAAGCACTTCGAAAGTTTCTAGCTAGTGTTAGTTCTAGTGATAGTGCTACTATTAGTTCTAGTTTTAATTCAATAAATAGAATAATGTTACATTTTGTTTACCCTAACAGTTTTTGTAGCGTCTTCCTGGATGGTAATGAAAAGAAATTTAATAAGAAACGGTATCAGAAGTAGTATTTTGTAAAACCTTTGTAATTGGGGTTTGCCCTGTAGAGGTTTAATGGAAATAAATAAACAAATAACTATAACTTAGACCTACCACTAGATCTAGAACCAGAAATATTCAGTTCTAGATCCGAGAACTTTTTTAAAATATCAAGAAAAGAAAGACCACCATCAAGAAAGGTACCATTTCTAACACCTTCATTCTCCAGGGAAAAATTGAGGGAGAAAAAAGGACATCCGTCATTGGACAGGAATCCAGGACTTCCAAACATTACAACATGCTGTACATAATAGAAACATGATAGGAAAAGCGATGACTCCTACGCAGAATCTGAATGGCACTTTAACAAGAATCATTTTTGATTAAACTACATTTATTGTATTTCTTGTTTTTCGTTAGTATTGCTCTCAATAAAAACACTTTTAACTTAATACATAATTATTAAAAAAAAAGCAATTACAAAAAGTTATTTAAAACAATTCACTTCTAGCAGCAAAAGCCATTTTAAATGTTTCATTGCTAAGATTCTCAAAATGATTCAATACCTTCTTGAGAACATTCAATTGTTCCTTAACATTTAAATCTTTATCAAACGAACAATCCGTGTTTCGATCGCAACTGTTTTTATAAAGACCGAAACATGACTCTTTAACATCATTAACTGATCTTTTAATTTCCACTGTTGAATCATAAATTAAACCAACTTGATTCTCCCATTTCATAACCTTTGATTTTGCGAGTTCATACTGTGTGTATAATTCGTTGTGTTTATTCATGAGTCCTATTAATTTTAATTGGTTGTCATTATTCATTTTAAGATATGCGGTAAATTCGTGTTGTAACATCGAAAATAATTTTTCTTGTTCTGCGCCAATCATTGTTTTCGCGTCCATTAAAGCTTCGTAACGGTGGACACAATCGTAAGGTTGTTTAAATTCGGGTGAAGCGATCCTCACTACTGATTTTAGAAAATCATCGTAAAGTGAGTGTTTACTGATGGCTTTTTCCATGAGTTCCTTAATCTTAAAAACTTTGTTGTATCTTTCGCGAAGATCATCGAATTTCTTTTGTTCGGGTAGTCGGTTTGCATCAACTTCTTTTAGTTTTTTTATAGATCGTTGTCGTTTCTCGGAGTTACTCTGTACGAAATAATTGTATCTTTTAAAACATTTTCCCAACCTTCTTTCTTCTTTTCTTAACATTTTCCATTGTTCATCCATAGATTTCCTCTTTTTAACGAGGGTGTTATTTTTCACGTTATCCAGCCACTCATTTCTTTCTTTTTCAACGTTTAACGATCGATTTTTCATTAAATTACTGGAAGCCTTGTATTCCGTTTTGTATTTTGGTGGGTGTATGAGATTTTTTTTATTTTGCAGGGATTCTCTGTAGATCGCAACTCCTTTCTGTGGTGGTATATTTGCGAAACATATTAGTTTATCGGATTGTTTTCGGATAAATTTTATTTGCGATACATCAAGCGATTCCCTATGATCCATTGATACTAATTGCAATTAACAAAAAGTAACAAAAATTGGACAAAAAATGCACAACAAAATGAGAAAAAATAGGAAAAAAACTGGAAAAAAAATTATAAACTAACACATCAAAATAATAAAAAATTATATTACTGACATTTGTCAGTTTAATGACAAATCTTTAATTTTTTCATTAGATCCAAGTAGTCGATTTATGACATCGTGTTTCATAATTTAACTTTTGTGAATGTTATTTTCTGCATATACACAACGTTGTATAATTTCCAAAGAGATTTTTCTCTCCTTGTATTGAATAAGGTAAAAATGTCAAGAACTGGTTGTCGAAGGAAAGTAAAATCGACCTAGTCTTAAAAATTCAAGCAGTCTTACAGCAATGTGATTGCAAATGATTTCCATCCCTCATAGATCATTCATCCCAAGTATCTACATTTTTTCATCTGTTTGATGGTCTCTCCATCAACATGTATTCGAGTTTATTAATGTTTGGTCTTGCTGATGTTAATTTTCAAACCTCGTCTTTGACTTTCTTCGTTAACCCGGTTTAGTAGCTTCTGCAGATCATGTGCACTATCCGCTAATATCACGGTGTCATCCGCATACCGGATATTGTTAATGTACACTTCTTTAATCTTGAGGGTTATTATAATTTGCCAAACACTTCTGCGCGGAATTGTGCGTGTCTGTGCAAGTTAAAACGTGCATTACTGTTGGATGTATAAAAGTAGGTGCAGCTGTTTTTCATTCAGTTGGAATAGAAGTTGGATTGAGTGAACTTGTGAGATACATATGATAATGTCGTCAAAAAAAATGTGAAAAGCGTGATATTTGGAGTTATGAAGAAATATTGGTGCACAATGTGATGATTTGCCTTCTGAAGAAAGTGATGTGTCAGAAGCAGAAAATGATGACACAGAACATAGAAATTTCGAATTGGTTCCTGACGAGTATTCTGGATCCAGTTCTGATCATGGTGACGATAATTCAGAGGATGATGTTGATGATATTGGTAAGCCTTCAACGAGCGGTAACATTGCTCCAAGTGGTCTGGTATGTAGTTTGGAACCTCCAGCAAAAAATAAAATTCAACCACACAACATTATTCGGCATGCGCCAGGACTAGCAAGGAAACATATGGCTGCATCACCAAAAGAAGCGTTTCAGTTATTTGTAACTCCAGTTATTGTACAAGAAATTGTAAACTGTACTAATTTAGAGGGCAAAAGGAAAACCGAAAGTTGTAACTGTTGATGAATTTCTTGCATTCTGTGGTTTACTTATTCATGCGGGAGTTGACAGAAGCTGGGATGTTCCTGCGAGATGTGCCATGTGTGATGAATTTGCCAATCCTGTATACCGAGCCACAATGTCCATATTTTGCTTTGAAGAAATACGAAGATTCGCCAGATTTGACGACAAGAGAACCCGGAATGCGCGTTTGGAAACCAATAAGTTAGCAATAGTGTCCTACATTTAGGATTTATTCATTCAGCAATACAAAACCTGCGTCATATCTGATACTAATGTAACTATTGATGAACAACTCGTTGGGTTTAGAGGTAGATGCACATTCGTTCAATATATGCCATGTAAACCGGCAAAATATCGACTTAAAATATTTTGGATGTGTGAATTTACGTCTGGTTATGCTTTGGTACACATAAAAACCTGGGGCTTGAAGTAGTACAAACTCTTGTGCGTGGCATTCATAATTCTGGTCGCAATCTCACGATAGACAATTCCTTTACTAGTGTTCCGCTAGCAACTTATCTGTTAGATAAAAATATTACTATTGTGGGTACACTACGTCAGAATAAGCGTGACATTCCGAAAGAAGTGAAAGCCTTAAAAGATCGTGTAGTCTACTCTTCATTGTTTTGTTTTCAAAATAACGTATCCATGGTAAGTTACGCACGTAAAAAGAATAAATGCGTAATTTTACTAAGCACCATGCACCACGACGCATCTATCAATGACGACGCTAAGAGGAAGCCTGAAATCATCTCTCATTATAATAAAACAAATGGTGTCGACATACACGTGCAAGAGGCAAAGTAAACGATGGCCCATGACATTTTTCTTCAACATCATTGATGTTGCAGCACTCAATGCATACAGTGCTAGCGTAAAGTAACCCCCCCCCTGTTTAACTTCCGAACAAATTGTGATATCACTATGAACAAAAAAACGTCAGTTTCTATATTTTATCAGCACAAATATTTTCTTATGGAAAATTTTGCCATCACTTTTAGTTTTTCCGGAAAATAGATCAACTTTGTTTTTTTAAATGGAACACCCAGTATATTATGGTATCTTCCGAAAGATGAAAACAATACGAATCCAACGGTACCTCACAATCAAATATCGGTTTATTAGTTTTTCGCATAAAAATTAAACAAAATGCGGAATTTTGCCGGAAAAACCAACGTATCTTCGTCGACTACCTGTCGAAATGCAATCGGCCAGGTAAATGGTGGACGGTCGGTATACGCTCGAGCTAAGACGGATTTAAAATTGCAAGTTCAATTACTTATTTTTTTTAGAAATGAAATAAAAGTTGTTTGGAAGTATATTAAATTTATGAATTAATCATATTTTATCAAAAAATATTTATAAAGAAAAAAAGTCAATATAAGAAATGAAATTTTCTTATTAAAGATTTTGCTAGTATAGGTAACGGTTGAAAAATTTGCTTAGTGTTGTTATTGAATAATAAAAGAATTTTTTATTTATTAAGAATCAAATATTAAGTAAATTGTTCGATATGATTACCTTGAACTTCTAGGCAGTGGTACCATCTTTGTAGTGTTTCCTCTCTCACACGGCTTAACATGTGATCAATATTTTGGCAGACGTCAATAATTTTTTGTTTTAAATCCTCAATACTACCCAACGGAATTTCATATACCTTGGATTTTAAATAACCCCATAAAAAGAAATCTAAAGGTGTCAGAT